GCTCTGTGCGGACAGCTCAGAGCCTGGAGCCTGCTTCAGATTCTGTGTCTCCCTCTCTCTCTGACCCTCCCCTGCTCACACTGTCTGTCTCTCTCGAAAAAAATAAATAAAAAACATTTAAAAATTCAAAAAAATTATTACAATGAATCCCATTACTTCTTTGAACCTGTTCATCTCAAAGAAACAATAAATAATGCTGAGTTTATATTCTATAAAATCTATACATCTGACAAATGTGATGTTCATCTTTTCAATCAATTTAGTTATGGAAAGCTTAGAAGGAAACAAAACATTTAAAAATCAAAACTTCCAACTGTGAAAACATTGTGGACATTATCTCTATTTAACAGCCTGTGAATTGAACTCCCTATCTGTGTAAAAGATGTTCAGAACAAATATCTACTCTTCATTTCTCCTCTCACCCCTCATCTAGTAGATTTTATTTATGCATTAGACGACCTTTTTGGCCATTAGAACCATCTTGCTTCAGCAGTTAATTAACACAAGTACCATAATTTAATACAGTTAATGCTACTTGATGCCCTTTAATGTACCTTCCATTAGTGATATTATTGTAGTATTACCCTGTAAATTAAAATGAGATCAAGACTAAGAGAGCCACTCTTTAATTAAGGTACTGGCACACTGTACTCGTCTATTATTCACTAGAGAAAATCACCCTGATTTACTGAAGTAGGACATCCATAAGTCAGAATTAGTCCATGAAGATTATTAGGTTTATTGAACAATGTAAGTACTGCAGAGTTGCTGAGATTGCCAACAGCCATGTTTCCTATTTTCCTTCCATTATCTTAATAAATACACAACGAGAGGGAGTAAATGGAAGCAAAATAAGTATGTGGCCAAAGAGGAATAAAATTTTTATGATAGGATTATAGTTTTTGTCACCAGTAAAACAGGTGTGTGAGATGTATTGCATGTTAAAAGGAACACAAATGCTACATTAGTCTAATAACAATCAAAACATCACCTTTACAGCAAACAAAAGTAACCAGCATAAAACATAAAGGCTGGGGAGCCTGGTTCAGTCCATTAAACATCCCACTTCGGCTCAGGTCATGATCTCACAGTTCGTGGGTTCAAGCCCCACATTGGGCTCTTGGCTGTCAGAGCAGAACCCACTTAGGATCCTCTGTCCCCCTCTCTTTCTGCTCCTCCCCCACTTGTGCGCTCTCTCTCTCACGCTCTCTCTCTCCAATAAATAAACATTTAAAAAACCCATCAAGGCCATGTGCACATGCTGCACAGGAAATGGAGAACTGGAATTCATAGTCAAGTCAAACAAAGACTCTCCTGTTTTTGTTTCATGGCTTCATATATTTCCAGATGAGAAAATCTTATATTGTCTGTTTACTATTTTATGGATATTTTTCCACTTTCCCCAAATAATTATGCCAATTCCCACCTTATGACATGGGTGGTAGTAGAGTGATAAGTCAATAGATAGCGTTACAATGATAAGGTATGGACATGTAAGGGTGCATTAAATATTTCCGCTGTTTCATGGATGGCCAAGAGCAGGTTCAGGGAAACAAAGGCCCTCTTCTAGTTTGGAAAGTTTATAATGACGATGCCTTGGAAAAGGAACCATTGGAACTTTCTTTTGGACATCATCAATTAATATTCGATCCTTCCATAGATGACTTGCTATATGAGAAAAAGTTAATCCTGCTGAAGTTTTCAAGTGTAAAATGTCCATATCAGCTTCTGTGCTGAAAGGCCTGTGCACCAGAGGCAGCTCAACATCTCTCTTTAGTGCCTCCATTTCCCTTATATAACTTAAAAACTGGAGACACGCCTGAGCCATCAGGCCTTGCATCCTTAGTCCCTCCCTTAAGACTAAAAATACCCCGGCCATCTGGTGCCTAGCACAGTACACGCCAGCTCAGTTTTGCCCTGAGGAATTTGGACAGAGTTTAGAGGTGACAGAGAAGGACCTTATGGAAGAAGATCACCTCTACTGGACCTTTCTCTCTTGTCCAGCTGCTTCTCCACTAGCTTACAGTTGATTGGTGAACAGGCAAAGGCAGAGGAGGGGAGTCCCAGAGAAGGGAGGAGGGCCTCTGCCTACTCCTTCATCACCGGAATGCAGTTGGTGGATACTGGTAGGATCAGAGATAAATGAAAAGTGGTAAATCTGGGAGTCTACATTTCTAACATGCCATTTTTAAGACATAGTATGGGGGTGCCTGGATGGCTCAGTCAGTTAAGCGTCTGACTTCGGCTTAGGTCATGATCTCACTGCTCATGGGTCCCAGCCCTGCTTCGGGCTCTGTGCTGACAGCTAGCTCAGAGCCTGGAGCTTGCTTCAGATTCTGTGTCTCCCTCTCTCTCTGAGCCTCCCCTGCTCATGCTGTCTCTCTCTCTCTCTCTCAGAAATTTAAAAAAAAAAGAGAGAGATAGTATGTCTGACCTCAATAGAGAATGCATCAAAAATGCCTGTCCCTTTAAAGTGTATTTATACTCTTTTTTTTTTCCCAGAGGAAACAAAAACGAATGTGCAGTAACAGAAATAAGTCCCAACAATGGCTGTATACCAACCAAAAGCTGCATACGAATGCCTTCTCTATAAGTGGAAGATGACAGTATTTGCAGAAGTTGGAGTCTAAGGATTTGGGCTTAGATTAGAATTTCTCAAACTGCAAGAAAACTGAATTAGATGATTTTATCTAACAGTGTAGATCACACTAGGATTCAAATTCAAATCTCAGCTTATTAATTCTGGCACTCATTCTTGTAGATGAACAGAATACTTGTTTACTTTGTTGTGGAGTGCTATTGTCAATAATACCAACATCAATTATTTTTATATATTATAGTTCCCAAAAATAAGAACTGGAAACTGATTATCTTTTGCTAAAATATTTATAAGCAAAATGGCTACTTTTTATTACATTTTATTATAAATAGCAAACTCACATTTAAGCCAACAGCTTCAGATTGCCCTCTCATGGTACCCTGCTAATGCATAAACTTTCCTCTACACCCTGGAGCCCACAAGCTCAATATTATACCAATGCATATTTCTCTCAGAAATATTCCTTTGCTCTAAAGATAGCTTCATCATATTTCACCAAGACCTTAGTTAAAAGTTTTTATTTTTATTTATTTATTTTTTACTATTTATTTATTTTAGGGGAGACTGCAAGTGGAAGAGGGACAGAGGGAGCGAGACAGAGGATCTCAGGTGGGCTCCATGCTGACAGGATCACAGCAGCAAGCCTGATGTGGGGCTCAAACTGACAAACCTTGAGATCATGACCTGAGCCGAAGTCAGATGCTCAACTGACTTAACCACTCAGGTGCTCCTGGCCTTGGTTGAAAGTTTTTAAAGAGGCTTCATTGTTAAAGATTCTAGACTCTTCCGGGAGGAACATGGAACAGGAACAAAAGTGAGAGTAGGTGGCCACCAGTTCCTGCTACTTCCCACAGTTAAGACTGTGAAACCTCTACTCCTATACCGAGGTCATGTCCACCACTCTGTACTGTGTGGCCACTATAGCCTTTACCTTAACATCGGTGACCTCTTCTTCCTTCTAGTGCACAAGTACAACACTCTCAAAAGATAGGTTGAGTCAAGTCTCAAAAAGACCATGGATTCTCGGGGCGCCTGGGTGGCTTAGTCGGTTAAGCGTCCGACTTTCTCTTAGGTCATGATCTTGCGGTTCTTGGGTTCGAGCCCTGCGTCGGGCTCTGTGCTGATTGCCAGCTCAGAGCCTGGAGCCTGTTTCAGAGTCTGTGACTCCCTCTCTCTCTGACCCTCCCCTGCTCACGCTGTCTCTCTCTCTCTCTCTCTCTCTCCTAGAAATAAATAAAACATTTTAAAAAATTAAAAAAAAAAAAAAAAGACCACGGATTCTCACTTCTTCTCTGGTTTCTAAGGACAGGGCTGCCCTAAGGGAGCTGACAGCCAGTGAACTTAATGGTGCCTGCCTTATTTGTTTAAATTGTATGATTGCTTAATAAAATCTACATGATTTATGTACCATTTATATTCTTAACCTCATATATTCTGACTTAAAGCTATCTTGGCATTGATAGTATGATTATTGCTTCGCGTTGCTTTCTCTTTTTTCCATTTTGCTCTGTACTTCACTCACCTTTAGTTTTCCTCATGCTTCAGCTCCCATCAAGTTGCTTATCTGGATAACACACCACACTTAGAAATCTGGTTGAACGGCTCTACGTTAGTAGTCCTGGTTCTTATTACTTGAGGTTTTCATTAACACATCCTAAAAATTCTCGGAAACTCGCTCCCACGTGTCTCTGATGTAGTCTCAGAATCAAATATATGCCCAGCCATGACCATTCAGGTGTTTAAACTCTGGTGCATCTGTAGTTGACCCCAAAATGAAGGGAGCCTGCCTCAAATCCACATTTAAATAGCAGTATACATTTCTAAGACAATAAGAACCAAGAGCCTGAAAAGTAGAGCTCATTCCTTTTTAATAAATGTGTAACCTTCCTAAATGCATTTGGTTCTGATTTAACAAATTAAAGGCATATAACTCACATTTCTGAAACTTTTGGGGCGGCCATACAACAAAATGGATACAGAGAGTTGTACCGTGTTGAAACCCTCTCTTGCACTTGAAAACAATGCAAAGACAATTTTTTTTAATCTTTCATTATCTTTTCCAGAGCAGCTGGCTTTGTTCCCCCTGGTTTCACTGTCTTAAAGACTTAACCCACCCCTGGTCCAGGGGGTTCCTTGGTCTCAAATAAGATGCGATTTTTTTCTTTTGCCTAAATTTTAAGAAACCATTCCAGGTGCAGGCTCAGCGAAGTGAGTCTGGATCACAAATGACCCCTGAGTAAAAAGGGTCTCAAATTTCTCCAAACCCACCTCCAGAACCAGTGGGTCCTGAGAAAACGGTGTAGTAGAAAGTGACAAATGCCCCTCTACAGCTGTGAGACCAATACACTGGCATTTTCTTTGAACAGCCGTTCTCACTCAAGTCAGACAGATGTTTTCTTACCTTCCGTGCACCTTTATGTCTGAGATCGCATAAAAGTAGCGTGCCAGGTGTAGCTCGTCTACAAATATTTCCCCAACCGCTGGTCGCAAAAGCCGTATCCTCAGGTCTGTGACTGTAAAGAAATCTCTGAGTTTCTTGGTTGTATCCAGCTGTCCGTAGAGAGAAGCCATATTGCGCAGCCATGGTCCAGCAAAAAACGCAAACCTGTCTTTGATTTCAAAGTGGATTATTTTGCTATTTGTCATATACCCCGTAGAGTACTCTTCGGTGCAAATGATTTCCAAGACCGTATGCTGTGATAAATCCTTCACGGATTTGGGGTCCATGTGAAAAGCGTCTAAGCAGTCTGTGGCATAATACTGATAGGGCTGCCATGTTCGTCCATAATCGAGAGATTTCTCCAGGATCATTTGGTCTGGGCGCCCAGATTCGAAGGTAATAACTATGTTGTCTGTGAGCTCAATAGTTTTGCTCCAAGACAGGGTGATGTTAACCTGGAGAGGCTTGGGATATTCCTTCCAAGTAGCAGACTGCCAAAATGTGGAGGGATGTCTTCCTTCAAAATCAAACATCAGTTCAGGGGGATGCGCCAACTCGGGGGTACTTGCATCACACTCATTATTGCACATGTAGGGGTTGCCCTATGGGAGAAGAACAAAAGAAGGTGCATCAAAACACCAGTTTGACACAAGTGTTGCCATATTGCTGTTGCTGAGTAAAAGGCTAGGAAAGAAAGAAAGGGGGTGAAAAAAACCCCTGCCAGCAGTAATCATTTTTATTTGCCCTAACTGGCTTCTCCTCTTTAATAGCTTTAAAAAAAATTGAGGCAATACGGTAATTTTCCTGTCTTGTTTCCTTCCATGGGCTTTAAGAAATGAAAACAGTTTATTTATCCCATATGTGTTAGACCCATAATGCGGTCCCAGAAGCACAAAGACACTGAGCAACTGTCTAACAGCTCAATACCTCTGTGTCCTCTTAGAAAGATGCTATAGAAAAGCAAGGAAATTCCTCCATGCCTCAAGGACGTTCCTCAAGAGCACAGTTCTTTAAAAAGTCATTTTTCAAGCAAACCTTTAGAATTAGCAATGAACCGTAGATACCCACGTCCTGTTTGGGAAACAATACCCCCTACAACATCCAGCTTCTTTTTGCTTCGCCTCAAATCCATCATACTTAACTAGGTCCCTGCTTCATAAAGCCTGCTCTTAAAGCATTTACTTTCTTCACCACAAATCATTAAAATGTGGTATACTACAGGCTCTGGGGCTTCGTCCAAACATCTGCCATGCTGTTAGCTGGAGGCAAGGGGATTGCACAGAAAAGACTTGGGGCAAGGGTGTGCTCCAAGTTATCAGGATGGGAAACCCCAGTACTTAATTGGAAGCACGAGCCACGGCTACTTGATGTGTTACCCTGTGCCGGCCCATAGGCAGCTGTCTGTCCATGGATGTTGGCCATTACTCTTATTTCCCTCTCACAGATGCTAGTTCCTTCATAGTCCACTCAAACGAGAAGCTGGAAATAAATCTTGTATCACAACAAGTTATAACTCCACTTACGCTACACTTAATGGCTGCTTTCCAGCTTTCATCAGATGATTCCATGGCAAACAGCTGGCTCCCCGATTTCCGTTTATTTTGTGTTTAAGAAAACAAATGGTATCATTTGGAGTCAACTATTCAGGCATTTCTCTCGAATCCTCTATTGGGTAATTATAAGCATGGATGGGTGAGAGAATCGACCTTCTGATACTGTCCTTAGGCTTTCTCTGGTAATTACAATTAGATTTTTTTTCTTTTTCATGAACTGAGAACTTTTCATCATACCTGCAAGATGCATGAGCCGGGTCTCAAATAATGAATTTATACTTTAGACTTCGATGCTCAGTTACCAGCTGACTCCCGTGAAATGTAAGATGAACACAGGAGAATTGCTTTGGCCTCCCTAGAGGCAATTTCTCCTACCTAGTCAGCTAATATTCTCGCTCTCTCTTTCCCATTAGTGCAACTGGATCCTAAAGCTGGCAACAGGTTTGGGGGACTCAAGTATACTTGAGATGGGGTAGGAGAAAGGAGAGAAGGTACATTATTTGAGGAACAGAACTGTTTTAAAAATATATCCGAGGCATCAGTGATAATGGAAATGTTTCTGTACTTCTCTCTCGAATTTCAATTCCCTATTCCTGATCCCAGCGTCTGTGGCACTATTTATAGTATCCCCTTCAAAACGAGCCAAGGGGGGAAAATACGTTTCTGTTCCAGGTGGAATAAATCACCAAATTTATTATTATTTAAACTCTCTTAAAGCATACCAGAGAGCCAAATGCAAAGCTCTGCAAACTGGCAAAGGCTTTTTATGGAGGGCTATAAATATTGTGGAATCTGTCAAGATTTATAAGTTCTAAATATATGTAAATGCACATTTTACTGGAAGGGGTCAGATTTACACAAATCACACCTTCATTTGAAATTTCTTGAAAAAATATGGTCACTTCAAAATCTACCAGCATGTAGCCATCTGCACAATCATTAACTTGGATGCTACCACCTTCCTCCTGACAAAAGCATCTTCATCTGAGGTCAAGGGTATCAAAACACAGGAAATCAACTCTGCAGGATACAGCAAAGTGAGTTATCAGGCATTTGTATTAAGTCATGTTAAAAAATAGCATTTCTTCGACTTCAGCATAGATGTGCAGATCTTCGCAGATGGGCACGGGGTGCCGAAACAAAGGAGGAGGCACCGTAGGCCGACTCTAGGTATAGGTCGATACTAGCAAACTCGTCTTAGGAAATATACTTGAAGCTATCTATCTAAAAAGCATTCATTCCTACTTTCAGTAAAAGGTGTTGACAGTAACCATCATTCAGTGAGCACTTATGGGTCACTGTACATACATTATCCTGAGTAGTCCTTTCTACCCTTACTATATGGAAGAAAAACCTGAGGCATAGAGAGGTTTTAAGTAACATGCCCAAGGTCATATAACAAAGTGAGTGAGGGACAGAGCCAAGCTGAGTTCCTCCTGCCCGTGCTCTGACCTGCTTAATTCCCAAGTCAATGGAGTCACCCCCAATGCAACCCAGTCTTAGAAACAGATTTGGCTGGTTAGGAAGCAAGGGCCTAAGATCAAATTAGTTTGGGAAACACAGCTTAAGATCTTTCTGCCTTAGAGAGCCCTAATGAGCATCATCATACATCTAAGATATCTTGAAGTTCAGAATCTTCCTCAGCTTCATGTAATACCCAGTTGCAGAAACTTTATTTGCTTTAGTAATCCCTATTTATATGCCACGGAAGTAGTGTTCTGGAAAACATCCTTTGAGATTCCCTGCTTCTTTGTATTACTCTTAAAATGGTTAACATGTGGATGCCAGAGCACATTGCAAAACTCAGAGTTTTAGTCCTTTAGTGAAGTCATGGCCACACAAAGCACTCCGTCTCTGCTTTGTTCCACACGGATACCCTTCCACAGGGGCTCAGCAGGACAGCCAGCTCAGGATAAATGCCTACATTTACATCAAATTGTCAGCCATCAAAATGCATGCCAGGACAAGGAGACAATTTTATTGCTTTGCACTGATAAGGTGCTTTAGGCACCTGAAAAATGAGAAAAAAAGTTTCATGCATGCAATAATTATTTATTGATTGCCTGCTCTACTACTATATTTAAGGCACTTGTCTTGGCTTTCAAGAGGCAGTAGCAAAGAAATTCAAGTCCTGGCTTTCAGCATGGCTTCCATTTTAGTTGGGGGAAATGCACTAAACGAACAAATATATAATGTTCTATGATGTTACATAGTGATGACTTTAATAAAACCAATTTAAAGGGAGAATGGTGCTGGAGGAGGGATACTGATCGCAATTTTATATTGGGAGGTCAGAGAAAGTCTCTCCTGGATAATGTGACATTTGAGCAGATTAAGAGCAATTCCCAATTTGCACTGGAGATGATCAGAGTTTGACCAGAATAACAGTTTTGTCCTTCATCTGACTCTACTCTTAGTGATAATTTCAGCAGCATAGCAATTTATTGAAATGGATGAGTAAACAAATCATTTTTAAGGAGACTGTACACCAAATGGCTGTAGATACCAAAAAAAACCCCATCAATTGAACCATTCTTATTTCATAGCCCTCATGCTCTTTTAGGAGATTCATGCTTTGATGACCATTAACATAACTTACCGAGAGACAATGATATTGAAAGAAAATTACTAGGGAAAAACAAAGATTTCATTTTGGTTCTCTGAGGAAAAAAAACTTGCATTTGTGGTGTGAGAGAGAAAACAAGAGAGAGAGGCAAAGAAGCTGAAAACCTTACTATTCTAGAAAGAGAAAGCTGGAGGAGAGATTCTATGCTAAAATATTTTGTGTAAATATTTCACAAGTGTGTGATTGGTAATACTGTTGTTACAGAGTATTATCAATACGGAAACAATTGCTGTTAAAAGGATTAGATTAATTAAATTTTCAACTACTTCAACCCCACCCTAATCCTCCCTAATACCATTAACAATGAAATTTATATAAGAAAAATAACTTTCCCCTACTTGTGAAAGCAAAGAACACTTCTTGCTGCTAAATCTAAGAGATTCAGGCATTAGCAAGTGTAAGTAATTATTTTGTGGCCAGCAGGCAGCTTTAAATAGATCTTAATTTAAGTCCTACAAGCAACAGATCCTTAATTGATTGTCTATGGACGAAGCAGAAAATATTTATGACTGTGCTGATAATATTTACACCATTAAGAGATGCCTAAATAATTAAACAGATATTGCTGCTAAATGTTTTTATAACAATTAGAAGATGAAGATTGTGATGCTTAATTTCATTAAAAAATGTTAATATTTTACCTCTGGGAGAATTGAATTTAGTTATTAATTATCACTTTGTAGCAAAGTGGAATGTTATTCTTCTTTAATGCGCTTTCAGAACTTAAAAGGGTAAATAACATTTGAGACAGGTTTTTATTGTGTGTATTGATGGAATTACCTTCCCTCTGTCAAAAGGTACTTTGACAAGAACAGTGCTTTCAACTTACACCCTTTTGAGTTAAAAAAAAAAAAAAAGAAAAAGAAAATCCTGCATACGCAGTATTGATGTAATCCTTGTGGTTCCAACCATTTTGAACTCCCCCTTCCAAGGTTTACCCGCTGGAAAACTATTGGGAATGACAGTTGGAAATGTAGGGAATTCCCATGAGAGGTTTGCCACTGAACTGTACATTACATACCAAGCAGGCATGTACTTACAAGTGGTCGTGAGAAGCATTTGGGTTAACACTTATACCGATTATGAAAAACAGTGCGAAAGGGCTGCCTCACACCCATTTGCATCTGGCTTGTCCTTGCTTGTTTCACCACTAAGTGACATTAAAAAAAAAAAAAAAAGACACATAGGTTAAAAAAAGAAAAAAGGAGCAGACAGAGTATTCTGGGATAGCACTCCCAACCTCTTTCCACCGTGACTTTGAAATAGGTATCACTATGTCTTTGCCAACGTAAGGCTTTAAAAGGGTGAAGAAACAAGTAGCAGGGTCTACTGCTCATCTCTCAGAGAGATGAACCATGAGCACCATGTTTTAACTACTCGGCTGGGCTATTATCTTGAGGAGATGTCTTCCTTTTCTCCTCTT